TTTTCTTCTTTCTTGAAGCTTCTAAAACATCAAATCGGCCATTCACAGGAAATGTTGACAATCGAGAATTTTGACAGGTTCGAGAATTTTAGCACATTCGAGATTTCGTAAGATCTGCAACTTTCTTTCGTATATAAATACCAACATAAATATTTAGATTATATTTATATTTGAATATTAGCATAAATAAAAAAAAACAATTAATAATTAATAAAAATACAGTGTGCAGAATTAAAATTTAAATAATATATATATCATGTAAAAAATAAATAAAAGGTAATAATCACATGAATAAATAACAAAAATAATCGTAGAGATAACAATCGCGTAAATAATAATTTTCCAAAATTTGCGAAATTTCGTAACGAATAATTCACTGGGTAAAATAATGAAATACAATGAGATACAAGTTAATACAAAATATATATTTATTGTATATTCTATCTTATATATATATATCTACATTATCTATCTGGCCATACCACACTTTCTATCCACGAAATATAATTGTACACGCGAGTATATACACCGGGAACAATCCCACCGCAAATTATTCCGAAGCTTGTTACTCCGATTAAGTTATACATGCAGTCGTAATCAGGATTGAAGATGCTGAGAGGTCCTCCACTATCACCCTAAGCACAAATCAACATTTAATTATTGAAAGCTAAACTACTGTATTAATTATATTTTTATTGCTAAATATTATGCTCTTGTTTTCATGAAAAATCATTTAAATCTCTAAAAACACATTGTTTTATATCTATGAAATATTTGACAGAAATTGTAAGTAAAAAAATTATGAATTATAAAATATATAAATTGATGAAGTTATAAATTATATGAATTGATCATTTTGACACTTTGGCAGTCTGAGAGTCCAAAATAACAATGCACAATAACAAATCATATTGGATGTAAATAATATTAAAATTATAATACAAACTGACAGCTGATGTTTGTACATTTATCAGAAACTAACTTGAACTATGAATACACATATTGCATGGTAGAAATGTGATGAAAATAAATATTTTCAATGTGCTGTATGATAATCGCCAATTGCAATTATTATTTATGTCGCCAATTTCCATTCAACTTTCCTTTAAGAGTGTACACGAATATTTAAATCTTTTGCATAAATGTCTGCAATATAAATAATATTGCATCCTTGCCTGGCAAGTATCCTTTCCGTCTTCACCGGCGCAAATTTGCCACTCGTTTACGATCCCACGTGGCAGTTTAGCCTCGTATCCGTAAGATTCGTTGCAGATTGATTGGGGCACCAAATTAATCGTCACTTTCAATAAATCGTTCGTCGGATCACCAACTAGAAAAGATTGAAATTAAAAACCGAATGTTCTTTCATCGTACCCATTGACAGTGTAATAAAGTGACGAAGAATTTAGAATGATTTGCAGAATGATAGTTCAACTAAAAACTAAAAAAAAAAAAAAATTGTATAATACTTACAATATTCATTGGCTCCCCATCCGGTCGCGGTTGCTTTATTTTCGGTACCAACATCCGATGAAGAGTATGGTAAGCAACTGGGCCTTACGTACGCGTTAAATTCTACGTTTTTCTCTAATTTGAAAAGCGCGATATCGTGGTACGAGTGTTGTATGCTGTACTCAGGATGCCTTATTCGTTGGACAATATGAAAGTCTTGCGGCCTCGCGTCGTCGTCCGTTTTTATGAGATTCAAATCGCCTAATCGTGCCCAATTTGCTTTACCCCTGCAAAGAATCGCGTTTCAGGGTGATTAATTAGATTCTACGGATTCTTGTGCGCTTTAAAGTAGTATTTGGAAATACAATTTAAACATAAATTACATAATTAAAAATATAACTAAATATAACTGAAAATGTAACTAAATAATAATTATTGACATTAATTGCGAATGTGTTCCAAACTTGTTTTTCAGTTAAATTAAATCTATTAATTTCAATCAACTGATTCTGAAACTTTGTAAAATTTCGAAAATTCTCGAAACTTTTATACTGATCTCACTTTGTAAGAAGAATTTTTTAAGAACTTAATTAGTTGAGACTTTTGTTTGAATTTCTATAGGCCATAGTTGAACAAAATGTACAGAAATATCTGAAATCTAGATCCTTGTTTAAGAATACTAACTCTTCTCCTTTTGAACTTAATCTACTTCTTTCTTTCATTTTGCCCATTGTATGTAGTGAAAAGTCTTTCAGAATATACTGTCGATGTTGTGAAAATGCAAGATACCCTTTTCTCTCTTTTATAATAATAAATAACTTCTTTGAACCTGGATAATTTACATTGTCATTTCAGATCGACGATCGATCGCACATCCTTGCTTATATACATGAAAACAAAAACCGCGTTCGCAAAGCATCTCACGCCGAATATTTGAGATACTAATGAATTAAACATTCTTCGTTCACTGCTGTAAATCCCAGCGTGACATAAAACTCTGTGCTTTCTTCTTCGTGATTCGAAACTCTCGATAAAATATATATAAAGTCAGTGAATAAAGGATCATTTACAGCAGAGATGGCTAACTGGCGGCTCGCGAGTCCTTTCTCCTACTTTCCTGATCGCTAGCGCTACCCCCTCCACTGCATTATACAAGGTGAGGAAATTTCAATGTAGTGGAGAGATCGATGCAGTGGAGGGGGTAGCGCTAGCGATGCAGTGGAGGGGGTAGCGCTAGCGACGCAGTGGAGGGGGTAGCGCTAGCGACGCAGTGGAGGGGATAGCGCTAGCGACGCAGTAGAGGGGATAGCACTAACAACGTAGTGGAGGGG